TAAAAAATTAAATCAAAAAAATAATCTTAAAATTTTGCAGATATATTATATATAGCTATAAATATATATCTAAATTGTTTAAATAAAAATTATTAATAAGATTTTTAAGATATGAGTTTGGCCAGAGTTTGGGATTTGGGCACACCCAAACCCAAACTATAATAGTTTGGGATTTTGCCAATATATATAGTTGCAGGTATGGTGGCTAGTGTAAAACCCAGGTGGACTACTTAAATTAGGTACCAAAAGTATACATGTGGCTAGTTGTATCCTCATGAAATTAATGTAATATTGTAACTATCTAAATAAAGCCACGTGCCAGAGGCCTAAGTAGTTACCTTAATATTTAAAAAAAATATATATATATATAATTAACAACAATTTGAATATGTAGTTGCAATTTATAATATTATTCAAATTTAAAAAAAATAAATAATACTAATTTTTTGACAGAAGTAAGCTGTTTTGCCCACTTTTTACAAAAATTTTATAAAAAAAGCAAGTAGATAATAGTATAGAAAATAGCTCTTATTTTCTTCTTTAAGAAACATATATTTTTTTCTAAAAATAGTAGAACATATAGAGCCTAGTAACTTGCTGATTTTTTTGTCAGTAGGTAATAAACCCTAAACTTTTAGCAAATAGTATATAAGAACTACTTCTAAATAACAAATATTATTCTCATGGTAAGTGATAAGCTCTAAGCCTATTAGCAGGTAGCATATAAGAACTATCTCTAAATAACAGATGCTAGCTTATAGTTTTTATCAATCTTTTATCACTTTTTACTACTATAGTTTACTGTTTTTTGAGAAAAAAGTTTGTTGTGTTTTTTGGTATAAGAAATCATTAAAAAGAGTTCAAAAGTGGTTTTAATCTTTATTGTTATAAGTAGAAATAAATATATACTATATATATATTTAACAATACTAATTATTAGATATATATATCATAAATATATATAAATATGCATATGTTTATCAAATATTACATAATCTTTATTATATGACTATAAACCAAGCATAAATTCTATTTTTGCCACCAAAATTATATAATAAAATAATTTAAATACCTTTTACCCTTAAACTAAAACTATATATTAAAATTTTAATTATTTATATATATAAATAGTTTGTGTACTAATAATTTTGAAATCTATTAAATACAAATTTCTTCTATATTTAGTATAAGCAGAATTATGCACTGCAGTACTCTAAACTTATTAACTCCAATAACAAATTCTTAATTTTAATTGGCTAAAAACAATAATCAAAAATTTAGACCGGAATTACTTATAATTTTACTAATAAAATGCAGCCATCTATTAAGTAAAAATTGTTCCTGGGCCAATTTTACCATAATGCGGGCTTATTTTATAAAAATTTCTATTTTTGTAATGAAAAGATCAAAAAGTTAATTCCGGCCGGAAATTAGTAAACAATTATGTAATGCAGGCCAAAATTTGAAGATCCTCGGCCGTTAACCAATCAAAATCGAGGATCTGCCGTGACAATTTTGTTGCGGTAGCTATGGTTAATCTGGACACACATTTCGCATTAATTTATGTCGGGGATGATGCTGAAATTGGCTGATGCTGAAATTTAGAGTCCCTATAATACCTACTAAAATTCACATATACATTTTTACTAACAACACTAACCCTAAACCCTAACCTAACCCTAACAAAAAGGCCCGAAAATTTTTTAAAATTTCATAATAAAATAGCTCAAAATTTCAACATCCGATTTCAGCATCATCCCCGACAATTTATTGGACAGACCAAACCTAATTTTGATTAGTCCAAAAAAATTGCCCAATGCCTAATTGGATCTTCGCATCATTATTTATTAAATTGGTTCGTGAGAGATTTCGTCAAGCAAGTGATGTGATGATGCAATTAGTTTCGTCAGGCATCACTGTCTCTAAACAAAATTTTAATAGAAAATAATCAGATGTGTGACATCAGCAGAGGTTCTTGATCGAGATTCTTGGTCTTGGAACTTGGAAAATTAATAATTCAGTGATAAACAAAATGGTAAGTACGTACCAGGATAGATAATAGAATCAACGAAATAAGGAAAGGAACGCTTATTTATGCGCCAATCCTTGAGAATTCATCCCTTGAAACTTATATCACAATATTTGGTAATTGTGTATATATGCTGATGCTGCGATATAGACTACAATTCAATATTATAGTTCAGTATATTAATCACAGATCATTCATGACAACTTGCAGGCAAATTTGCCTGAAGGGATAAAGTTTTAAGAGATATAAATAGAAAAGCCCAAATGGTAAGTAAACTCGAATGACTGTCATGAACATTCTATTCTAACCTTTCCTCATAATACAGTAATAACAAATAAGATCACCCCACCCAGATGGCCTTCGCTTTCATTGATTTTTTTTTATTCAGAATTTGTGAAATGTACATACGTACGCAATTTAGCATAAGCGTGGGAAAATAGTTAAGAAAAAGAATGGGTCACAATCTACATAATGGCGCAACAATAAATTATACGAATTTGTTTGTTAATAGATCCTAATTAGAAGACCTGCAGCAATTGTTGGCCGGTTTTGAATAACCCTATTTTAACAAGTTTCTGACTGTTATATACCGAATTCAAAGAGAACTTCCTTGGATCCGATTAGGATAAATTAACATTAACAATCCCGCCACTTCAGGACTTTAATAAATTTTCCGAACACATGTGAAATTGTTATTACTGTTATATTTGTTGGCTAAATTCTACGTATCATAAGACGAACTGTACATAGACTAAAACTATTGTTACACAACTATTTATACATAAAATTATACTCTAAACATTAACGTTAAGTGATTGAAAACGCTTCACTAATTGAAGCCAACATTACAAAATCCTCCTTGAAGGAGAACGATCTGCTTCGCGTCTAATTTTAATTGGATGATTAACTTGTGACTTTAGATAATCTGATTTTTTTTTCTGTAAATGACTATTATAAATATAATATGAGCATTCTTCTTTTATTCGGAAAAAAATTACGCTATGTCAAACCTTATTAGTGTAGGTGTTATTCAGGCAATATTTAATCCAAAAAGTAGTAAAAAACCAGAAAAACCGGTATTTCAGGTTGCAAAGGTCGCTCAAAGCGATTACTCTTCACTACGTCCGCAAAGGCTTAAAGTAGCTTTCAATGATGGCATTGAGCTTGTGCAGGGCATTATCCCTGTTAAGCTGGTAGAAAAAGTAAGTCGTGATATAAAACAAGGTCAACTTCTCAGGTTAACCTATTACAATTCCCTTATTAAACAAAGTTCT